TAAAAGTGTTTCGAACATGCGATCCTATAATAGCATTAGGACTTTTGATTGGAAACTACGTACTGACCGAAATTTCTCACATGCATGACATTCCACACTTCCATCCTCGACCGAATGGATTACTTGTTGGTAGACACTGTGGCCTCGATAGACATGTCGTATGAGCACCAATGTGGTTGGCACCATTCTAAATGTAATACATTTCATGTACAAAACACTTCACTCTCAACTTCCTGCTTAATAATTTTGCTTCATAATTCTTCATTTCAAAAATGTGGGAAAGGAACCAGCTCTCTACCCACTTGAAAATCTTTCGTCTAATATCCCATGAAATAATTCTAAAATTATGTAAATTTTCTTAAAATGGTGTTTCTTTGGTTATTGTATTTGTGTCCTTGCTTGTAGCTTCCAATCCCCAATATCACTGGATTTTAAATCCGCTGATCAAATTTATTACTTCTTAAATGTTTGTCATATCAATACGATTCAGTTAGGAATACTGATATTTTATCGAGAGTTTAAGTTGTTAAGGTGATTATAGAAAATCAATGATTTTTACTCGATTTTGAATTTTCTTGAAGCCTAGGTTTGCACCATGAGTTGTACCTGCCGATATAGTGTTCAAATGAGTGTAAATAATTAATTTCTCAGCAAGTAGGAAAGCGATTCGGTAAAATTCGAATAAGAATTGGTTGAATTGTTAGTTTACTCCAATTGGTACGTCTTAACTGATAGCCAGATTCTATGACCATGGAGGTTGGAATAGAGTACTTTCCACATATATTTAATCAAAAGCAAACGCGGATATTCCCACAAACACCTTACAACTGCACAATTGATTTTGCATATTTGGTCGGTTTTCTTCCACAGGTCGTAGTTCTTCCATAGGTCCTTTTTGGTCGAGTTGGCCACTCAGATCATTACATGTTCAAGTGAGGCCTTCTCGACTTGAATCTTGATCTACACAAATTAGCTAACTTTATTTATGATCGCAGTTTCTGTTTAATTATAGAAACGCATTTTTAACATTTGCATAGAAAATGCAGGGATATTTTTAAAAGGGACAAAAATATTTAGTTAAACATCAAGAACATGATTTGCATAAGCATTATTTTGAATTCATTAAGTTATGCCTTCAACATTCATTCCAATGGAAAAGGGTAGACTGGAAGGCGAGGAACAGTTAGCAATTAATGGGGTGACGATGTCACAAGTCTTGCGATACTTAAGTTTGAAAACATTTATTTATAACAAATGGCAGGCGTTTTGATAGTTATCATTGGCCCTTTTAGTTGACTTCGGGCTTCACCGAGGGGAGGATGAACATCAAAGTGAGAAGAATTCAGGAGGGGGAATAGAAGGATGTTTCAAAGATGTAAAAGAAACAGACACAAAGGCTCAGAAAGGGTAAGATGAGTGCTGTGGTAGGGGTTGAATTTGACANCGTGCATGTAAACATATTTCATCTCCGATTGCGTTCTACTTCTGCTTGCTTTCGAAGCCAGGCGTCATGGTGGAAGGAGTAGACATCAATACCGTCATCATAGTTCTCGGAAAAAGAGAAGTTGTTTACGTTCGAAAGGTCCTGCTTGCTACAGCGATTGTGACGGACATTCGTCTTGCGGTTCTCAATGCCTATTTAACTATTATTATTATGATTTCAAATGGCAGGCTTTATGATATTTATCATTATATGTATTTAGCTTGGATCAATTCAAACAACAGTGCTTTAAAATTACAAGTTCTAATAGATGTCAGTATTTAATTCGCAATTTATAATTTCTAAATTTATTTGTACCTGAAAAATATCTTTCATTAAAAAGCATATATTAATATTCTAAAAATAATTTTAAACGAAGCATTTACGTATATTGCCCAATGTCATTTATTTTCTCTTGTAAATATATGTCTTACTAATTTGTAATATATTAGTATACTTCAATCAATTCTACTTGTTTATGCATTTTCATTGAGCATTGTTCTGCTTTAACTTTTTTTGAGCACTAATGCGTTCCTCAATCCGGCTTGAATTTAATAAAATAACTTTGGTTTGAAAAATAGCTACAAAATCGTTCCAATTGGGGTTCTCAAGTACTAGAGATTGAATTGGCAAATGGATGCATCACTTCGATTGAAATTGTTACAAGCACTTGACGTCACGAAGGATTTTGCAATGAAATAAGGATTAACGGAAGAAATTATGTCTTGAATTGTGTAGATCTAAACTTTCCAATCTTATACCAGAGCTAAGAGTCCAACAAATCTGTTCTCAATTGCTTTTCATCTTTCCCTCCTTAACATCCCCATATCCGCATCGACTTGTTTCGTAGGTCCATATTTGCTCGTGTGGAAGAAACTATGACTCACCACGTTGCATCAATTTTGCGTTTTACTTGTAGATTTGAACAAAATCATTCCATCAGAATTTTCTACACCCCACCCAATACAAAGTGGGAGTGCGTTGCAAATGCGGAAAATGCAGACGAGAAATCAATTAACCCATTTCATATAACTCCAATACCTGGAAGTAGTACTGTTCTCAAAGGAGTAATTAAAACATCATTATTATATCAAATGGCAGGCGTCTTGACGGTAATCATTAGCCCTATAGTTGACTTCAGGCTTCACAGAGGGGAGGGTACATCAAAGTGTAAAAAATTCAAGATTGGGGGGGGGGGAGACAGAAGAATGTATCAAAGACGAAGGTAGATAAGGTGGAAAAAGTTGGGATGAGCACTATGAAAGTAGTGGAATATGACATAGAGTGAGGTCATGGCAGTTTGAAGTCAACTGCTAGATAATAAACTTTTATGCCGTATGAGTATACGTTGCCCAGGGTGCACCACGTTGAGGTAAGTCTATTACACACACCGCAATTAAAACATCGTTGCTCTAATTGTTACTTATAAACTCCACATCACAAGAACACATCCTTGTTCGACATTCTCCTACCTTCTTGACTGTCGAATGTCTGATTTAATGAATATTAGCTTAGTTGCGAATATAATGGGAATGGGAACTAGTAGTTAGATATTTACAGTCTTGAAAAATTAAACAATTACCTATTGAACTGAAAACGTTTTGGTAAAAACAGCTTAAACTTACAAGTGATTTACTTTGATTTGAATTTCACACTTTTACTATGAATTGCAATTTCTCATCAATATTTTCAGATCCGCAGAAGTATTGCTCATGAGAAGTTGTAATTTAATTGCGAATTAATTCATTAGTCGCTTGACCCTATCGCTAAACGCCTCAATTGCACACCAACCTGCCACTTGTACATCAATGGCCAAAGATATGAATTTTCTTCCATTAAATTATGGCCACAATACAATATTGGCATTTTAATCTCTGAAGCTGTGATACCACCATAGACTCTGATTAAGTTAGCAACCCGTTGAATATTTTCACATAAATAAAAAGCGATAACCGCAATAGATACTCCGATTCATCCGTCTTTATTCTAATTGGATTAGAATGGACAGGTGATCAGTTCTGAAAGTAAGCAACAACAACAAATCCTCTTAACTAATGCTTATTGACAATTGCAAGGAAATGAATGAAATTTATGGCCTGGCTATTGGTTTATTCACTACAATTACACCGTGAATTGGAAATCCTTCCTTTGAGAGAGCAATTCATAGCGAACTCGTGCTTGTCTCATCCTATCTTAATTTGCATGAAATAGTTCCACAGTAAGTCCTCTTTTAAGACAAGATATATACATATCTCCACTATTCGAGCAAGTGATACTATCACTCGAATTGGTCAAATCTTATGGCATGAAATGAAGATATTATTCAGATGCGCAACACCTTAACCTTATCCAAGTAAATGATACACCCCCGATTCATTTAACACCATATCCCACCCTGAAATAGCGGAAAAAATGCATAAGTGAATTTAAATCTTTGAGTACAATACGATAAAAAATGCTACAGAACGAGAAAAAAACGAGAATGGTAATTTTAGTGCGCTTCGCGCTATAATTCGCTTCCTGTGAAGTTGTGGTGGTGGTGGTGGTAGTGAAAAAATGTGATATCAAGTTGTTTAGAAGAGCATTCCAGGTTGGCGTCCGGATGGATAGTAAGAAGGTGCACCCCAATTGGTGAAGTGTTGAAGATACGACAAGGCGTTGAGGGAATGGGCCTCTTCGCGATGCACGTGACTTGCCATACACAGCCGGGCAATAACACATCCTGCATTCTTTTTGGTCTGTGGTTTCTTAGCCGACTGGAAAAACAAAAAAATGGCAATGGAAGGTCATATAAGTTATAAAATAATAGCGGTGCTTTGTGTGGATAAAGACAAAGAGAACACGATCATTTAAATGCATACATGCACTGACCTGATGGGCTAAACACAGTGGTAATCAAAAGTGAAGCGACAAATGCGAGCCTCACAGATGTGGAACTCTAGGACACTTTCTCTCTGTCTGGTTGAAAACTTTCGTAAACACGACAAAGTTGTGCTTGGAAGCTACTTCCTAGATTTGTCATGATTATGGGGTCTATATTTGTACAAAATAAACCATTTCGACGAGTAGAAAAAAACGCTTTCATTGAACAACACCAAAGACTAGGCTACTTAAAATACAAATTTCAGCTCAAATGCATTAGCAGAATGCAAAACATACTTTAATCAGCTTCAAAAGATCGGTAATCACCGTAGTTCCAATCAAGTTCTCCGCCAACACAGTATCGTCCGCACAAGCTTCAAGGATGAGACAAGCGCTAGCAGCTAGAGGTTCATCGTATGGTGGTGCTTCTTTCTCCGCTTCACATGTGGGAGTTGCTCGTGCCCGCAGGAGTTGGGCGACTTTTCGGGATACCAGCCTATCGTCACCAATGGCAATGCGCACATCCTCACAATTCTTGGCACGTGTGATAGCGGAAAGTGCGTGGACAGCGCCACGTAGTCGATGACTCGTGAGGCTCTCTGTGGACTCATACACCTTGGTCACGCCATTCACGGTAGTGGGAACTAAAGGTATAGGTGCGTTCTCGAGAAGGGAAGAGGAGCTGAAGGAGAGGCAGGAGCTGCAGAAAGTAGATGTTAGGTGGAATGCAAACAACATCAACAAGAGGCACAAACATGTAAACACAATAGCAAGGAGGAAGAGCGCGAAGTCACATAGTCATCATACAACTTAGAAACAATGGCATTTGTAACCCACAAACACGGTAGAATCGGGGTCTCTAGTACGAAATTCCAGCAAACCGAACATTGACCTCTTGATGCTTAAATCATATAGACAGGATAACCAACCATCCATTCCCATAGGCGGGTGAACGTCGCTACAGAAAGCCTAACAGTTATTCAGGACAGAATTCGCCATCAGGATGGGAGTGAATTGATCTCTGGCATCAGTAACTTGAAAACAAGTTGCATTTTTGCATAGTCATTACTGAGGTTATAGTGTTTTAGAGCGACTATACTTCTAGCTTACCACTCCAAGACTGGACCAACTACTGCCTCGCAATAATAGTTGGCGCATTATTCATAAAACCAGAAACTGAAACTAATACTTTCAAAAAGCAATGGAATAGGCCAATGGACAAGGTCATTATGAGAAGAGTCATGAAGGTACCAAATCAGTCTCCAACTCCACATGGATTAAGCGCTGTGGTGGTGAACAAGCAAAGAACTTCGAACAGAAAGCGAGCCTATCCGAAGATTTGCCTTCAATTACCAAAATATACATCCAAACGGATTTGCGTGGTCAATAAGAAAGGACTACTTACCATGAGCAGATAACAGATATGAGAAGTTGGACTCTACTCTTAATTTTAGATGTGGGAGTAAATGCAGCGTAAGGAGCCTTTTCGTTCGTTGGTTCCTGGGGAACTTCTTTGCCGGAATGAGCCCAATCAGTGACCTGAAGCCAAAGACAAGACATTAACGACGTAACTAATTGGCACAATAATAATAAGAACTAGAGCTAATATTCACACAAACGGAAAAGTCTCACTGGATACATAAATGGTATGGTCAGCAGGAAAAGCTAGCACATATCCAAAACAAAGACGCAAACCTATTAACAAGCGAGCAAACTCACCAATTCCTCCGTACAGTACGGTAGGAACCGACCAAGAAGAGCGATAGAGACGGACACGAGGTTTGAACAATTTGGAGTATCAAGAACTTCTCCAACCAAGTTGAGCAATGCCTCCATCTCCTGCTTTTGAAGCACGGGTCTAGAATCACCGGAAAGGAAGTTATGAATAAGTCGACAGATTGATCCGACGAGAGCCGTGTGACTACAAAAGAAAAAAAGCTAATTAGTAGGTCTGCAAATTCATAGACTTTAAGGGTGCATATTGTAAAGGCATAAAATTAAACTAAAGGATCTTGGAGAGGATGAAAAATATCTACCCAAATGAAAGTTAAAGGCTCTTTTTACTTCAATGTGTTCGAGATTACAACTTATTAATTCATTGTCCAAGGAGAATCAAAATGTCAAAAAAATCAGAGTACAACCAACGGGGATAGGTTTAGGACTATCGGTTGTGCGCTAATAGGTGTTAGCCAAGTAAATTCTGACTAGACTAGAAGTCGTGTTAAGCATGGTATCTGATAGTTTACAATCTTACAATTAGATTTCCTAAATCGATGACCCGAAGGTAAAGCTAGCAACAAAACTTGACATTAATATGACTACACGGCAATAAATGAGTAATGCGGTAATAAAGCATTTCTAGGCCCCATAATTCAGTATGGCGATTAAATTCGCGTGAAATGACCTATCAGAACTAAATTCTCTCTATTCACATATATGTTGCAATCAAAGATCACCTTAACTACCACAGTTTGATACTCACTGGAATGGCTAACAAGGACTGGGAGCATAAATGAACTTCTAGGTAAGAGGTTCAAAGATACATTTCCTCAAAATCAAATGAGTTGAAGACTAGAATCCATTCATCAGCTTTAGTGTCCTCACAGCTACTTGCTAATACCTTTTCAATAATCTCACCCATAATGATGGTAAAATCACGATAACTCCCGTTTTAAACAGCTACAATTGAGCAATACAGTGTGAGAGAAGGCACACAAACCTTTCATCAACCATGAGTGGTAAATGTCGTGCAGCACACGTTGTGAGATTGAGTAGGAAGTTGGGTTTGGAGATCATGGAGCGACGAAGGAAGGGGTCATCTGAAGCAGCCGAAAGGCTATCAAGGAGGATAGAAAGACAATTTATAGGCGCCGAGGTGGATGCTGAAGGTCCTGGAGCAATCGCTGTTTCTACAACGTTCTGCAGACTGGAGAAGCAATCCGATGAATGGACCATTGACTGACGGAGTAGAGGTGTAAAGACAAGGGAAATGGAAGCAATTAAGATTAACGAACACGAAATGATGAAGAAAATTAACATAAAATTGGAAAGAACAGCATAGTTTCGGTGCACAAAAATCTGCCAAGAGAATGCATACCACATTCATAATGGTTTTTCTTTATGTGGCAAAGTTGCAAAAAATAAAAATTGTAGTAGGCAAAGTAATCAGATGAATCAAGACATCAATCAAAAATGCCAGCTCACACTACTTTGGGGAATCACACGAGAAATTCTTTTGCTCGATCGACAGGCTAAATATAATCAACAAAAGTGCGATGATTCGGCACTTAACCAATAGTTCTTAAAACTTAAACACTACTGCCTTAACATTTATTGAGCAGCTACTCAAATGTGTGATAGGATAGTTAGTAGTATCCGCGTACATAGAATGACATTTTGGCATGTGGTTATTAACATTGTTTGAAGAATTACTTATAAGTGGATTTCCTATTTCGATTCCTATTTATGTAATGCATCCTTCCACATTGACTTGCCTTTCAGGGAATTTGAATTGCGTCATCGCAACTGTTTCATTCTACTCACGATCAGCATTAATGACATACATAGGACACATTTATGCCATGTGTTGCACCCTCTGATTTTGTTTAAAAGTGAATATATGTACTTGGCAATTCAAAATGCGGCAAATAGCCAAAGTACATAACTTTTCTGCTTTTAAATACGCCCAATTTCTTTCCATGAAAAGTTTACGTGGATTTCTTACTTAGAATTGACACGTCGCATAAGAAACTCTTGTTTATCCGTGGGTATTGCCGGCGCTTCTTTGAGCACCTCCACGAGAAAATCTCGCAATAAACTCCAAATAGACAGTAACTGAAAAATAAACACAAGTACCGGCAAAGCATATAAGCGGTTTGTGAGAAAGATCAGACAATGCGCGGTAGGAAAAAAACGAACCGAAAAAACCCCTCACGGAGTTTATTACAAGCCCAATAAAGATGCATCAACTGGCAATGACCCTGCAAATATGAAATTTGACAAACTTCACATAATTTCGTAGTCCATTTACCCTGTCTGATCCAGTGTCACTTGGCATATACCTTAGACAGGTTGATTAACTGTTAACAGAAAATTAAAAAAAATAAACTCGGTTTAATATCAATCAATGAGCGTTAGTAAGGAAAGTATTTTTATCAGGTAAAAACAAATGAAAGGACAATATAGTTAAATGTGTACTTCAATCAAAATGTCATTAATATTATAAATAAACTTAAAATGCATAAAGTACTTTGCGATATAGGGGTGTGCGATAGACTTGCCTCCACGTGGTGCACCCTGGGCAACGTATACTCATACGGAAAAAAAGTCTATTAACTGGCAGATGACTTCTCACTTCAAACTACTCTCACCCCATTGTATGTCATACTCGACCACATCCACAGTACTCACCTCACCTTTTTTCCACCTTCGTCTTTGAAGCACTTTTCTGTTCCCCCCCCCCCCTCTCGACTTTTTTTCCACTTTGATGTTCCTTCCCCTATGTGAAGCCTGAAGTCAACTAAAGAGCTAATGATAACTATCAGAACGCCTGCCATTTGAAATAAATAAATAAATAATACTTTGCGATAGAACGATGCAAAAAAAAATTATATTTAAGTAAAATGACTCCTGATAAGTAGAGGGTTCAATCAAATTTATGGGAGTACAATAACTGAAACCATTGCTCAAGTACATCGCTTAGGGGTGCTGACTGTATTCTATTAATCAGATTAATAACAACTCAAAAGAAATTAATGACGCGAGCTTACAACTACTCAATTACACTTCTCTCAAACTCCAAACGCACCTCAACAAATCATCAACTGCTTCTACCAATAAATGCCAAAAAACGACTTCCTTTTTAGGAATACGAAACTAATTACTATAACCGGGAGGAACATTGAGTTAACTGGTAATGGGTGAGACGGAGGACCTATTTACTAAAAATTTTTAGCTGCTAAACATAAGCTAAGAATCATGCGACGAATTAGAAACGTTACTCATAGAACACCCAACTCCGTTGGTCGAAGCCTTAATTTATTCCCATTACCCAGTAAACGGAGTAAGCCAATAGAACACTCCCGTTTCCTTACAGGAAGTTTAAATGTGGCAAAAGAATGCACCTCAAAGAGGTTCTCTTTTGTAAGGCATTAAGAAGATTTTTGGCTTCTAAAAGAGATATATAATCTAAAGACCAAGATACAGCACGCAGTTAACATGCAACCACTTAATTCTGCAACAACTGCTAGATTGTCTGTAATTAGCAATTAGATTAAAAGCATCTCTGTGTGGATTAGTTAGTAAGTTCTTAATTGTTCATTGATAATTCCCATTCTTCTATACAACAACTATCAAGCTACTCATCTTCAGTTCATTCCAAGATCAAAATCAATAAGTTTTTCAGCATCATCAATTTCATACTCTTGGTGCAGGACATATTGCCAACGCAATGGAAAAGATAAAAAAAGACTTGCAAAATAGCAATAAAACTATTACTTACAAAAAATCTCGGGCTCTTGGTAATGTTCTCCAAGATCTTCGCCGTAGCAGCTACGGTCTGGGTAGCGAAGCAGTCGGCAAGAGAACGTTGTTGAGCGGAACTTGTCTGCAACTTGAATGTCTGTCGAAAGAGCGAGGTGGAAGAGGGTGAGGAATTGGTAATAGGAAGTCCCAAGGCATCTGAAAGGCAAGTCGCCAAAGCGGAGAGTAGGACAGCGGGACCTGGATGCGTTAGAAGACCCTCCCGACCACTGGCCTCACAGGACATAAGGGCTATTAAATCACAGGCGGAGCATTGAAGGAGACCTAGAAGATGGTTTAGTTGTAGCTCTTGGGTAATTCGAACTCTAAAAGATAGAAAAAGGGTGATAATTACACATAACGTAGCAATGACCTCATTGGTAAAAAATAATCAAGATACTCCCTAGACAATTCTTAGACAAGCGAAAGCAACTGTCCAATTAGGCTCCAGGTGTGTAAAAAGCGTTCATAAACACAATACTCTCCTTTAAAAGACCAGACCCTTTCCATTTATATGCGTGATTAAAACGACAATCCATGACTCGAAACTGTCACAACCACCAAAATGAGAGTATGGTTGCCGTTCAAAGCACTATTAATACCATGTAGACAATCCAGAGTGAAGTTAGAATTGTAATAAAGACTATGAACCTGTTGTTAATAGAAGAAACCAACATAGCAGATGATCTGATCAAGGGCTCTCACACAGCTCTGAGAGAAAAAAAGGGTTAGAGAACTAAGCCATTGCAGCATAGGCTATGTCAACACAGTTGATTGAATGTATCACCCTCTACCACGAAGTTTGCACTCACAGAAGTTCTTCGAAACCATGGGCTCACACAAGCGTTACAGAGTTCAACTTCTCATCAAACCCCACAAAAACTGCCCTTTAACAAAGGCAAAGTAACTTCTGAGTAAAGATAGCTTGGCTTAAACACAGCCCAAAGAGCGCCTGTCAAGTTATGAAGACTGCATTTCCCCTCTAACTGTCATGGTTTTCGGATGTGAGTGATCCATCGGGGATAAAGCCACCAAACCTGTTTTTTCAAACATGGACTTAAGTTGATTTCAGATGCTTACGTTCAAGTGGATACCATTGAAGTAGTTAAGTCCTAAATAAGTAGGGTAATTAGATATAGGACCATGCGTATGACGGCACCAGGATTTGATCTCTCCCACACCTCAGGGGAAAGTAAACAAACTGTTGAACCAATTTTTGATATTGCAACGGTCCCAATGAACTCCCCATATCTTAACCCAATAGACTACTATGCAGGTATTAGGCGTTATCAAGAAAGGCACAATTAAAGCAGCCTTCGAGGTCCTGCAAAAAGAGAAGAGTTACCTTGCTCTACATTTCAGAGACTAGTTCGAATTAAGGCCTTAAAAGAAGGGTAATTATTTCGCATATGTGAAATTTGGTCTTTCCATTGGCGTTCTTTTAATTCAATTAAATGCTGCCTTTTCCTTAGCCTGATGAGACACTGCCAAGTCTAACCCAAACGCTAGACCTTTACGCCTTAGCATTATCAAAGTACGTAGAAGTGTGTTCAATGTTACGATAAGTTATATAGAGCAAAAGTAGTGAGTCAAGTCATCAAGAGAACTCTTCTTCATTTGAGCTCTGCTATGGACATTTATATTGCAAAAATCTTCATATTCAACATGAGGCAAATCTGAGTGGCATAAACTGATTTAGGCGGACCTAGCCTAACTTCCTACCGAATAAACAATACAATATAATCTTTTCTCTGACCCTAAAGTTAAGTGAAAATAATATAGAAAAAGGAAAGATCTCGAATGAAATGGGAAGAGCAATAAAAACTTGCTTTGGATCGGTACTCATAGCCGAATCACGGAGTTTTGCATAGGACGAGGAGACTTTGAGACAATCCACAAGGAGGGTTGAGAAGAGTTTGGGCATAGTTTCCACCAGCCGACGTTGATTCTCGCCACAATCTCTCACCAATTCGTTAGCTAAGATGATGAGACTTAGGAGGTGATCAAGCATAGCTAGTGTATCATCTACACTCAGGTTCAACTCGTCAGAGTCTGTTGGGAAGCCATCGACGGGACGACGAAAGTACTTCACCACACCAGAGGCATCAAAACGCTGTAAAGAAAAATAAAATCGAGGTTAATTGTAGTCACGTCATCTGACAGTAACAGAGGTGAAAGGTTGATGTTCACCTGTGATATTGATGACAAATATCACGGATAAATGCATGAAATACCTCACCACTCAAAATAATGCCTACGCCTTTCTCAATGGATAAGTATATAAACATTCATTTTCTAACAAGCTCCCAAAGAAATTCTCGCAAATAATTACATTGAACAAAGGAAGACTTTCGACGACAACAAAACATCCATTAAGCTTTCCTTATCAAGCTTTTGAGTATCAACATATACAAAAGCGCACTTATAGTCGTACGCTTGAAAAAAATCAAAAATGAAACGTAGGCGTTTTAAGAGCTACACGACTTTAGTTGGACAAAAAAGTTGGTTCTATTAAAATTTTAGCATAATAAACAGCAAAAAAACAAAACAACAAAGCATTCATACCTCCATTTGCGACTGAAGCATTCTGAATCCATTTCTCACTCTAAAGTAGGATTGGAGTTTCGCCAACGTAGCAAGTTCATTGTTTTCAGACTGGTTCTCAACTATTTTTGACGGTTGGATCTGCTGCTGCTGCTGTTGTTCAAGCTGCCGATGATGTCTTTGAGCATTGCTTTTTCCCTTTCTTTTGCCTCCTCGCTTCCCGCAGTTTGGAGTAGTCTGAGATTTTTGATCACCTTGAGGAGAAACTGGGGAAATGGCAGCAACTTTCGGTACATCTTTAGACTCATTCAATTTTCCATTCGTCGCAATCTCCACTTCAGAAAGACCCTGAGCAACAGAGGCAGCAGATAGGAGTGAAGCCATCTGGCGAAGAGTTTTGGTGTATTGACGCATCTCCTTTCCCTTCACTGTCGCCTCGACTATAAGCCGTAGAAAACGATCCCTGGAGTTAGCAAGAAAGTATGATGAATAGAAAGGGGCTGAGATGAAAAAAATTAAATATTATTGGTGCATTGACGAAACTCGAAAGTTCCGTCCATAGTGCACTGGATGATCGTACCCAAACATATAAAACAGCAGTTATTAACCAAACAAATTGGAAAACAAGCAACAAAGTACCCAATACCCATTAATAAAACACGTCGCTTGACCAAACAGGCCTACTATATTGTCCAATAAGGGGTGTGATAGACTTACCTCAACGTGGTGTAACCTGGGCAAAGTATACACATACGGTAATAAGTCTATTAACCAGCAGTTGACTTCTGACTTCAAAATACCATCACCCCACTGTATGTTATATTCGACCACATCTACAGTACTCACCTCACCTTTTTTCTACCTTTTCTACCCTCGTCTAAGAAACTCTCTTCTGTCCCCCCCCCCCCTTCTCGACTTCTTTTCACTTGAAAGTATACCAAAACGCCCAAATGCCCACCATGAATGAAACACCCAACAATCGCTTTTCAAACAATGGAACATCAAATAGAGGAAATTCGCGTAATAAGCGAGAAAATGAGGAATAATATTTGAGTGCTCATGTTCGTAGAAAGAAAAAAAAAGTACCTTTAAGCTGTCGTAACTAGAATGAGTCAAAATAATTTCAGTTGGATGGAAAAATTTACCAAGTATGAGCTAAAACAAGGCAAAATTACAAAAAAATTGAGCAATAAAAAATTTCCGAAAAAAGATAACAAATCCGACTAGATAATAAAAGACATTAAAATCCCCTTAACATGTTGGAAGTTAACAAGAAGTATACTAACTCGGTAGGTTTGAGTGGCATCGGTCCTTCATTTCCCGAAGACGACAGTTCAGCAGACGACTGGGAGTCCAAACTCTCAGCAGCAATAGCTGCTTTAACTTGAGCCACTCCTTCCCTGAGAAAAGATGGCCAATCATCCGATTCAGGATCAGGCACTACACCCGTGGCAGGGTGTTTAGTGAGGGCGAAGTAGGCACGGGAGTCAACATAGGCTCTCAAGGCATCACGAGGTCGTCGAAGGACGAGGAGGGCCTTGCCACGGCGAAGATAGGCTTTTGAGGCGTGCATATTGGCTTCCTTGGCAGAGTCAGCGTCAGCACCAAAGTCGGTAGGTGATTTCTTTGGTTCTGAGGGAAGTAAACGAAGTGCCATATCACAATCAGCCAATGCCAATTCAGGACGACCGGCACGAAGATAGGCCTGAAATTGAAAATAACGCCTGTTAAAAAATGGCATGAAGACTTGGCATATTTTTAGAGTATTCAATAAACAAAAAAGGCTGATTATGGTTTTTAAGATTCATTACTGGCAGTTGACTTCTGATTTCAAACTACCATGACCCCACTGTATATCATATTCGACACTTTTACAGTGCATAACCCCAATGTATGTCATATTCGACCCCTTTCACAGTATCTCACCTTACCTTTTTCTCTACCTTTGTGTCTGTCTGCCTCTCTTCTAGCCTTTTCTCTGCCTTTGTGTCTGTCTGTCTGTCTGTCTCTTATATCTGTTAATCGCTCTTCTTTTCCCCTGTCGACCTTTTCTCACTTTAATGTTCCTCTCTTCTGTGAAGCCCGAAGTCAGCTAAAGGGCTAATGATAACTATCAAAAGGACTGTCATTTGAAAATAATAATAATAATACTTGGGCGGTAGTAGTTGGGACAATTAAACGTGGTAGCAATCAACGAAAATGATTACATATTTAATTGAAGAAATTAAGGAACATTACGTAGCCATGTTATACGAGCGGCTGGAACCAATTTCTGGGAAATTCACTCGAAAAAGGACCCAGAAGGAGCCACACAACAATGGGAAAGGTGCAGCATTATCAAACTTAATAACTTGAACAAACGAGAGACCGGAACCTCATCAAGGTGCAATCGCACAATTCCCACTGTAAATGCCACAATATTAACAAAACTTACTTAATAATAATTTAATCGCTTTATGATCTAAGAAAACATTTTAATTCCCCCTACACTTTAGTAAAGCAACGCTCCTAAATACCCATGCTTCGAATAAAGAAAAACACCACTTACCTGAGCACGGTTATTGTATAGCAACGACCAGTCCGGAAGAAATTTGATGGCCTTAGAATAGTAATGAATAGCATTGTCAATATTGCCAACTTTGAGGTATTCATTGGCGTAACGTTTGTATTCGTCCGCCTTGGACTTGTTTTCAGCTCTACGGCGGGATCGTTCTGCAGCATCAGCTTCAACTTGAGCCTTAAATGTATCTGCTGACAGAACTTCCTTGGGTGTACAATTATTTTTGATTTTATGCAAATCTAATAGGTAATGGTAGAAAATCGTTACTAAGTAAAATAATACAAAAGGCAAGAGATAATAAAAGACTAACCTGAAACGTCACTGTTTGAAGACTTATTAATAACAGTTCTGTCTATCGTGCCTTTCTTTCCATCTAAAAACTCCTGCTAAAATAAGGGAAAAAACATACTTTTCATTTTCATTAAATATTCGTCAGCTTCTTTTAACGCGAAAGCTGAAGCTTCAGAATCAGAACCAGCCAGCTTACTGACAAGTTCAGCAACCTTATCTACCTCAGAGAGCCTGGCATAATCGTCATCAGTTAAACCATTAACTGACATTTCTAAGAAAGCCAATCAGGCAAATAACAGAAAACAAACACACGTTGAATGTGTTTCGGTAAAGCGGGCGGTTCAAACAACTCCAAAGAAATATTAAGACACTTTGAATAAATTCCACTTTTATTTCATGATAATTTTAATATCGAAATATTTATGCATAGTTTAAGAATCAAGGGTTGATAACTCATAACAAAATTTTGGAAATCAAAACATTTTGCCTAGTTTAATCTGAATGACAATTGGATATGTTTAAAAATTAATAACTGTAGCGATTAAGCTAGGTTGGTTGACAAACTGGAACATAATCTTAGCATCCCTTATATAACAAATTTTATTAATACCGTTTTGTAATAACTAAATCAACATATTATTTCGACATATGCTATTTAAGCTTTGCGACGTATTAGTTTAAGTAATTGAGATATTTTCTAAATGAATCAAGCATATAAACCATTTATTAAGCGAACACGTTGCTTAAAATATCGAGATTGATAGGGTAAATCTCTGATGTGAGGAAGATAAAAGTAGGAATTTTTCACGTTTAAATATGAAATGATCGTTGGAAACATTATTTGTCTTTTCTATACAGTCAAAAATTTATTTAGCAGCGAATATGAAGTTTATGCGAAAGACTCCTTCTTTCATCCTAATCATTAGCAAAATTAGATTTGTTTAGATCAATGCAAATTTTCATTTCGAAAGGTTGCCTGTTTACTAATATGACATAACAGTTCCAATAATTGGTATTCCAAACCATAAGTTACAGCAATTCAGTTTTCGCATTTTGTGATAGTGCCCCATCCTTTTGATATATTGAGCATTTTAATAGAAAACTGCTTTTATTAAAACTCCAATCCTAAAGATAAAGATTTCTATAAGTATTTGCACGCATTTGATTATTGAGTTCAGTTTATTGGATAAAATATGCGGATGGATGGAAAATCATTGGATGGAAATGAAATTAATTTGAAATTGGCTTTAATACGCGTTACAAGCAAACCTTCATAGAATCTATATAAAGAAACCACAAACATAAATTCAAGTATGAAGCTAGTTTATCTTTCTTAATTTAATTTCTATTATTTTATTCAACTTTGCGTCTGAATAGAAAACAACAAGACAGTCCAGATAATATATTTTAATTTGGATTTTTCATGCATTTTTAAGTTATATTGCGGAGAATTGTTAACAGATATAAAGCCAATATTATTTACCCTGGTTTTTTACAAAAGTTCAGGCTTTGAGCGTAAAGTTTCAGATAAAATAATATACGAAATAAATTTTCATGAAAAATTTACAGAGTTCTTGTATTTGTAAATTAACGAGCTCTACCTTGCTTTGTTTTAACTAATAAAACGATTAAATAATTTTGATCCCTTGTAATTGGATCGGTGTTTGGTGAGATGAACAAATTATTTCTATATTAAAATATATTATAAAATATAATCTTTTGAAACTATTTCAAATGTAGAAATTTGAAGATTTTTTACTTGTCTATTTGTCACATTTCATTCTGATTTTATGTAAGAAATACAGGGAAGATATCATAACCATTTCATATTTAATTTGAACGTATAACTTACAAACTTTAAACGACTATGAAATAATAATAGAGCTTATTTTTTATAGTTCCATTGGCATTAATGGCATCAAATATATAATCTTTATTTTGAGTAAATAACCATATTTCACAAATATATGTTGATTGTAATGGTAAATATTTACATATGATCTTTTTAATTAATTAAAAACGCAACATTGACCTTAGTGCATTCCTTTGTTCTGTTTTTCACTTTTGTTCCTGAATTCGCTTTCCGTATTCAATGTTATTTTTCAATGTGCTTTGTATTATTTTATGTGTCTAGTTATTCACGGTTTATAAGGGTTGATTCAAAGGAAATATTTTTGTGTATACCTTAATCTTAATTTGACTTCCAGTGAATAAGAGCCCTTGTACTTTATGCACGCATTAGCTGATATCAAAGGGTATTTCAAGTGCAAGGCAAACAATTTGTAAGTAATCAGGTCATAAAATGCCATAATTCTAAGTAAAGCTACCCTTGGAGTCTACCGAACTAATCAGTATATTCACTAATTGAGGCCAAAAGCACAGTAGCCTTTCTCGAGTGGGAACATCAATAGTTGGTTTATGCAAATGGGATAAGAGATCACCGTCATTTATTCGGATTGTGTGCCGCCAGAACGGACCCTAACGCGAATGAAATCAATATATATATTTTAATGTAGTCCTCAGATGTTGAGACAACAATTGGTTTGCATTGGTACCGACAGTTGTAAAGAATTAAATTTATCGGTAAGTCAAAAATTGATATTAAAATCCGATGTTACACAATTTAATAATACATGATTTCGTAGAAAGGCTCTATCGCACAAAGCTATATTTCACCTCCAGACCCTTTAACTTGCTCATTGCCACTTGTCAACTTAACTCTCAAAATGGGATTCCCGAAAGCATTGGTAAAAAATACATTAAAAAGATCATTTTGATCTTGAAATATTAGTTCCAAGGCAACATTCCTATTGGCATTAAATTCCAAAAATAAATTATTTAGTAGAGTAAAAAACACAAATATTGAGGCAATATTTAATTATTTACTTAATCATTTAGCTCACAAAGTAACATTACTCTATTTAAGTTACCTCAGTAGAATAAACTATAAATTAATATTTATGATTAAATATTTTTAACAAATACCATGTAACAGCGCGATACGATAATTCCGAAGCTCTTTCACGAGCCCTTTCTGATATACCTTTTGGTAATCAAATGGGAGCTTCTTAGCTTCCACTTTTCCCATGAAAAATTAATTCTTCAAACATTTTGAAGAGGTCAATGTAAAGTTTTGATAACACTTGATTTGCTTAGGATATGTAATTCTTTCTTGTGCCTGATATATAGCCATTTGACACATTGACAACTACACCAACAAAAGTCATTTCAATAATCATATTTATTTATGCGAAAATCTTTGTCATTATTTTCACTTACATGAACTCTTTTATACCGATAGATTGATAAAAAAATTCCGCCTCCTTCAAATTGAGAAAAATAGCAAGTTTCAAATTCTCGTTAGTTCGACTGTTCCACATTATTATTAAAAGACATTTCATATTCGCCATAAACTTTGTCAATGTGTTTTATTTCAACTTTAAATTATTCAATTAACCATTAAATTAAACTTCTTTTGTTAAATAAATGTCACATTAATTCTCTGAAACAAATATAAGGCAAGATATTAGAGAGGTAAAATTATTTTTTCCCCATATTTGTAACTTTGTCACGTCTTCGTCGATAGAACTTATGTACTATTCTCCTTCTTTTTACTCGAATGGAGCTCTATCATTAAAGGCACTATCAGATTAGACAAAAGCTAAAATTTAGTTAAATTTAGTTTAATGCTTAATTTCGAAAAAGCTAAGCGAAATTATTAAGCTCCCACTTTTGCGTCGAACAGTTTGCTGGAAGGGCTTTTAGATGTAGGACAATACATTTATCAACTGAGTATCGTAGTTATGACGGAAATAGAATAGAAATTTAAATGTGACACCGAAATGGCCTTTCACACTAAAACAAAATGGTTACTCTATTCCCTCAGTCATATTTATATCTTGCAATGTGCGTAAACGAATGGACGGATATAACTTCTCGTGTCTTTGGAAAGAAATTGTAGAAATGCCTTGTCAGAAGGTGATGTATATATCTTTATGCATATTGATTCGTATATCTTTGGAGTTATCAGAGGTAACTGTTAAACACGACCCTTCTTGAGGGGTTCAATCGCGTGGCGAAAAAAACTTTGTTGAGTAAAGTGGAGAAAAAAAAACTAAAAATGTAGTCAAAAATCACCACAGAGTTGCTTTGAGTTCTTTCTTCATAACCATTTTTCGTTGATTTTTAAAAAGTTAATTTTATTCCTTATTTCGGGTGAAATTTATACAAGTAACTTCTAGGTTAGAGTTTCATTCTACTGTTCGGAAATAGAAGCAAGCGAATTGAGGCCTTTTTTGTTTGTAACTAACAACTTAGGAGTAGGCAATTCGCATTTTCAACTTACAGTGAATTTTAAGCTAACCTCAGGACAATATACTACCCACAAAGCATTATTGAAGTTGCCAAAAATAATTATCAGCTTATTATAAATAAGCTTTATACCGCATTCACTGAAGGAATTATGGTGGCGGTCAACTTCGCTTCATGGGCACTGATCATTTTCCAGTTTAATTTAACTAGTAAAATTATAGAAAATATTTATTTATTTATATCAAATAGCTGGCATTTTGATGGTTATCATTACCTTTTATTTCAAATGACAGGCGTTTTGATAGATATCATTAGAATTAGTTGACTTTCAGGCTTCACAGAGGGGAAGGAACATCAACTAGTTGACTTCAGACTTCACAGAGGGGAAGGAACATCAAAGTGACAAGAAGTCGAGAGGGGGGGGGGGAACCGAAGAATGTTTCAAATATATAAAAGAGACAGACACAATGATAGAATAAAGGTGAGGTGAGTACTGTGGAAGTAGTCGAATATGACATACAGTGGGGTGATGGTAGTTTGGAGTGAGAAGTCAACTGCTGGTTAATAGACTTTTTTACCGTATGTGTATACGTTGGCCAGGATGCACCACGTCTATCGCATACACCCTATTGAAATTATATATTGCCCCCATTTATCTTGTCATTTTGTTCCTTTGTTAGCAAACATACCTATTTTACTTTATATCGCGATTTGAAATCAATGAAAGTATTAATTCTCTGGAAACAAGTAAAACACGTTAGTTACGGCTTATTCATACGTAGACACAATGAATACTTTTCTTAACAAAATTCTATCCATTATGGCTTTAAAGTTTAATTGTTTTACTGTAAAAAAGTAATTCGATCGGCCAGTATGCTTCCATTTTATTACATTTTTGTTCTGACCTTTCCATAACCACTTTCTGCGCACTGCTTATTGGCTAAGAGAGAGAGAGCGA